CAATGCCTGAAGGGGGTCTTACCAGTGAGTTTCTCTACACAACCATGATGAATCAGCATCGAGAATCCATGAATATGCATAGAGAGACCTCCCGAGCAATTGCCTCCCTTAGAAACCTCATACTTAACCCTCCACATTCCAGCACCCGAGTTGTGGACGACGAGATTGAAGAAGAGGTTGATAGTGATGAAGAAGAAGAGGAGGAGGATATGGCGGATGAGGATGTTTAGAGAATATGCTGCTGCTGTTGTTTTTACTGCTTTGCTTTCTAGTTATAAGCTTTTATGCTTTCATTTGAACTATGTTTTATTGTAACAAGTACAATTTCTATTTGCTGCATTTTATATGTACTATGTTTGTGTTTTGTGTTTACTTGGCTTTGCATGTGCTTATTACTATATACTGCTATCTTGTGATTTCTTTGAAAGCTCTTCCTTTTTGCTGATGTCAAAGGGGGAGAAGAGCTTGGTTCTGTTAATGTCTCTCTGTGTGCAGATTTTTTCCTCTGTTAAGATAGGGGGAGTTGCTAGACATAGGGGGAGAATCAGATCAAGAACCAAGAGATATCGCACAACATCTTTTGATTGCCATCATCAAAAAGGGGGAGAATGTAGAAGCATGCTTCAGTCTCAAGTTTTGATGATGTCAATGCTACTCAAAGTCATCTCTTGATTGCAAAAAGACAAGCCGTTCAAAGTCATCAAGATAAAGTCATCAAGCTATCTTTCAAGTCAAGCTATATGGAACTGATTCTTCCAGACTTGCCTGCTTTACTGGTATATCAAATTCACCTTTTTAATTTTGATATACAAGTGTTCAAAAACATCAATCTTTTGTGCATAATACATACACATGTTTTTGAAACTTTAAAAATGGTATAACATTAATTTTAAAAAAGCATTTTTCTGAAAATTAGCAGTGTTAACCGATTAACCATATAGGTTAACCGGTTAACCATTTTGAATTTTGAATTTTCTGGGCTAACGTACCAGTGTTAACCGATTAACCATATGGGTTAACCGATTAACACTGAACGTGCAGTGAAAAATTGCTTTGTTTTGAGTTCAAAAATTATTTTTAAAAACATACCTTTTCATGGTTTGAATCTTTTAAAATCATACCTTTTGTGAAAGGTTATTTTACTCATATAAATTCTGAGTTTTTCATTTTGAAAAACACCAACAGACACCAACAAAACAAAAAAACCAATACTCATTTTAAAAATTGTCTTAGAATCAAATTCATTTTTCAAAAGTGTTCATACTTGCATTGAAAATTTCACATTCATTGAACACTTGTATTGAAAAATTACAAAGAGTGAATTTTGATTCATTGAAGAAGATCACTTTGACAGTTATACTCAAACCAAATTCATTACAATTATTTTGTATTTGACTTGTGATCCAGGATTGTTGGACACAAGGGTGAGTGTTTACAAGAGGATTGTTCTTGTACACTTGTGAGATTGTATTGTTTGATAGTAGGCCTCACCGGTTGATGGTGTGATAGGTTGTACTGTTTTAAACAATAGTGAAAATTCTCTTTCATGTTGAAAGGGGAGTGGAGTACTCTCGGATTGTGAGGGGAACCACTATAAATCCTGTGTCTTTCTATCTTTCTTGATTTACTGCTTTCCATAACCAAGAACACCATCCAGCATATTTCCAAGAACCAGATAAAAACCGGAAAAATTTCAAAAGTCCTAATTCACCCCCCCCCCCCCCCCCCTCTTAGGCATACTCTGTTCTTACAGGCTTGACACTAGACCAACATTCTTCTGGTGTGATTCCTTCAAGCTTTTTCGTCGGATATCTATTCAATATATATGTTGCTGTCGAAACTGCTTCTCCCCATAATTCTTTAGGTAGATGCTTTCCATTCAACATACTTCTCACCATATTCATGATGGTTATGTTCTTGCGTTCTGCAATCCCATTTTGCTGTGGAGTGTAAGGTGGCACCACCTCATGCACAATCCCTTCTTTTACACATAGTGTATCGAACTCTTTCGACACATACTCTCCACCACCATCAGTCCTCAGAATTTTCAGCTTTCGACCACTTTGTCTTTCGACCATGGACTTGAATCTGGAAAATACCTCAATCACATCACTTTTCTTCTTGATGAGGTAAGTCCACAGCTTTCGACTGTAATCATCTATAAACATGACAAAGTATCTATTGCCACCAATCGAATCCACTTGGATTGGACCACATACATCAGAGTATATGACTTCAAGTATTGTCTTCGACTTCCTTCCTGCATCCTTGTTGAAGTTATTCTTGTGTTGTTTCGACTGAACACACTCTTCACAGACTTCACTTGGAATGTCGATTTCTGGTAATCCTGAAACCATATTTCTTCTCTTCAGTTCTCTGATGTCTTTAAAGTTGAGATGACCTAGTCGAAAATGCCATAACCACTCATCTCTGTTGGCTGCAGTTGCTAGACATCTGTGCTCCATCACATTGAGTCCAATCTTGAAGGTCCTATTCTGAGACATTGGAGCCTTCAAGATTAATCTACCACCTGCGTCGAGAACTCTCATCATCTTGTCTTCGACAACTACCTTGTAGTTCTTTTCGACAAGTTGTCTTATACTGAGCAAATTACTCTTCATGCCTGGTATGTACAACACATTGGAAATTATTGACCTTTTGCCATCTTTCCTCATAATCAGAACATCACCAACACCTTCGGCTGCTAGAGTGTTGTCATTTGCAAACTTCACTGTGTTCTTCGACGAGGGCTTCATGTTGACAAACCAATCTTTCCTTCCAGTCATGTGTGATGAGCATCCTGAGTCCAAGTACCACTGATCTTGGAATCTTTCTTCATCTTTTGTTGTGACCATTAGCAACGTTTCTTATTTTTCATGTTTCGCCAGCTTTGCATCAGTCTCTTGATTTCTCTTCCTTTCTGGACAATCACTAGCATAATGACCATACTTCTGGCAATTGAAACACTGAATGTGGCTTTTGTCTGGCTTTCGACCACCACCTCTTCCTTTACCTGCAGCATCACCTCTTTGGTTACCTTGGTTCCAAGGTTTCTTCTTATTCGACTGGTTTCCTCCTTTGTTGCCATTCCAGCTACCTTTTCCTTTTCTTGCCTTTTCTGACTGTGCTTGCAAAGCCATATCTTTCGACTTTCCTGCAGCTCTCTCATCCATCCTCTGTTCATGAGACTCAAGAGTCCCTTGAAGCTCTTCCTTCGTCAACATTGACAGATCTTTCGACTCTTCTATGGCAACTACCACGTGGTCGAATTTTGGAGCCAACGATCTCAAAATCTTTGAGACAACTGCTTTCGTCGTTAGCGCTTCTCCACATACTTTGATTTGATTCACCAACTTCGTAACTCTGGTGAAGAAATCTGTAATGCTTTCGTTGTCTTCCATCTGAAGCAACTCATAGGTTCTCTTGTGAGTTTGTAACCTCACCTCTTTCACCTTCTCTGCGCCTCCAAACGACTTTCCAAGAATCTCCCATGCTTCTTTTGTTGAATCAACATCACTAACCTTTTCAAAGTTATCAGGATCGACACACTGATGAATTATAAAGAGTGCTTTATAATCCTTCTTCTTCAATTCTTTATGCACAGCCTTTTCCGCCTCCGTTGCGTTCTCCCCAAGCGATGTTACTCCGTCCTTCACAAGATCCCAAAGATCTTGATAACAGAAAATCAGCTTAATCTGCTTGCACCAATTCTCATAATTGTCTTTCTTGAGAATTGGCAGGGTCGCCGGAAAGTTGTCGTTCGGATAGTTCATCGCCATCACTATCTTCCTTGAATCTCTCAACCGGAGCTCTAGATACCAGATGTTAGAAATTCACCTCACACCCTATGAAGAATTCCCTTCAATCTTGATCTCAAGATTGATGAACAAACTCTCAATATGATAGTAATGGTAATAACAAGTAATTATCAAGAACAACAAAGAAAAGAAGAGCACACAAGAAAGAGAAGAATGAGAAAGTATTGAGTTACCCACAACTGTGGGATTTCTGATTTTATTGAACCTTCATTTGCTAACACTGCAACTGTGAATCCAGTTCTACTGTTGTGTTTGAATATAAAGCAAGGCATCCTATTTATAGTTTTAGGTTTACAAAAGCGCAAAACATAAAAGGCCCAAAATATCCAAATCAAATCTAATTATATCAAATCAAATCTATTTACACTATGAATTATATTTAACACCTATTGCAGAAACCTTTAATTTTTCATTGTGGTATGTCAGATTTTTTTCATGTTTCTACAGTTTGTCGGCTGCTATTTTTTATCTGTTGTACCGTTTGAGAGGGAGTTAGGCAGGGTCGTCCCTGCAATCACTATGACTGCAGAATCCTGCATTTAGTATAAGGGGCTAGACGAGACAGAAATAACCCACAAAACACACTAACTGCATGGGACTCTGGTTTTTAACTGCTGAGGATTCAATTCCGGCAGGGTTGATGGTCGGTGTAGGCTGGGGGTGCGTTGTTAAAAGGTCCATGCATAATCTGTTTAGGTGGTTAATTAGTGCGGAGCCTGATTTGTTTAGGTGATTAATCACATTAAAAAATATATATGAAATTTCTCATTTCGTGCAACTGGAGAAACTCTTAATCATTAGACAGTGTCATAACCTACCTACTGCAGGAACAGTTCGATTAAAAAAGTGTACATAAACGAATGTTGTTCATGATGAGAAAGAAAAGAAGAGGTGTCCGAACAATGTTAGTAGCTATGTTGGCTGTAACAGACATTCAATTCATCCAAACAAACAGGTTTCCCTATAATGATACAAACTCCACAAAAACTAATATTAAAACGCAACTTCACAAGATATTATAGTGGTAGCAAATATAACAAACTTTTCAGGGACGTAACAATAAATAGCACTTGAAATCCGTTTAACTGCTAATGCCAGGGAATTAGTCATAATCCTTTGCTTTTTACAGTCCTTGGTTCATGCAGTAAAAGTAGGTTGGACAAAGGCACGCCCAGACACCCTCTAATTCCTGCTTTTGGACTTTTCCATGGCCCTCGGAGCTGTGGAGGAAAGAAAATATAATTGAGCAAAGAGACACAGATAAATTGAAGTTATTTGAAAAAAAAACATATTACAAGTAAGTAAACTTATATTGATTTTGAAAGATGCAATGAAACACTTAGAAAAAATGCTATAATGTTAGAGGAGTTAACTAACACAAGGTCTTCTATTCAAATTCGTGTTACAAATAGGAAAGGATGATCCAACTAACATACAATTCTTTTGGTGGATACACCCGTAGCTGAAAGTCTCCAAATAAAATTCCTCAAAACTACACTGATAAATCCAGTATGTAGTTTTGCAACTCATGGTATGTGTTTAGTTTAAATTATCAATTGACCCAAATCAAAAGTAGAAACCAATCTAAAAGAAAATTATTGTTGCAATTCAAAGGGCAGAAGCACGCATCGTGAACACCACGCATAGAGTTGTCTGTGCATGAAGTTTATCCGAATACAGACAACATATAGTGATTTCATTCTAACATATCAGGATCATAATCTGTTGTGGGTTTTTAGTTCTTAAGATGGTTATCTCAACTAATGCAGAAGATAATCCTGATCCACCAATTCATGTTAGTCATTCCCGGAAGGAAAAAAAAAAAGGAAACAGATAGGAAGAACATTCCAAACTCACTTTAGAAGCTCACTTGTTAAAACACAAATGCACTAGCACGTGGATATTTACAGACCCAAACACCTAGTTGATATATCAACTGTGCACTAACTCCAATAAACTGTTATTGCTTGAAAGTAAAGGTACAAACACAGGAAAAAACTTCTGAACCTTACAGTGCATGAACAAGATGGATGAATCAAGTTTAATTTATTGCTCGCTTCTAATTAATTGGCCATATTTCAAACGTTTCATATTTAATTGTGGTGGCTGTCAAATGAATCATCACGGAGAATACATACCTAAGCCAATGGCATCAGAACCCTTCATGATTTTCAGCCTTCTGCAAGTGTCAATGAACATTCTGCACATAAAAAGGGTTGCAGTTTAGTGAGGGGAATGAAAACCCGAAGAAATAAAATCTCATTATGCCATACATTAAATCCATTTTCGTGGTTAGAACTTGGAACTTTAAACAGAATGCCCATGAATTAGACTTAAAATCCTATTCAGCCACAAAATCATAGCTATGATCAAAGGGTAACTCCACTGGTACCATAGAACAAGGCTATAGCATGCATAAAATCTCAACACTTAGAAAGAAACTAGAATTTTTATAGTAAAAAAATAATGGACATTAACTCTTTATAGAAAACAATAAACCTTCTAAGATGGGAGGAATAAAAGGACAGCCAATTTTGCTATTAATAAACAGAGATTCATAAAAGTGTGTGCATGTGTATGTGTCATCCCTTCCAAGGCCCCATATCCTAACTCAATCGTAATACCCGGTGATTTAGAAGGGCATGCACATGTGTCCTCCAATCCAAGGCCCCATATCCTATAACTCAATCATTATACCTCTACTCTTACTCCTCACATTTTTAACTTGCATACCCCTAGTGAATTTCACCACCCTGTTCTTACAAATTTTCCATTGTCACATAGTCATTCTGTAATGAATCAGATCACTATCTGCAACATTCCCCTAATCATATCCTAACTCAATTGTAATACTCGGTGATTTAGAAGGGCATGCACATGTGTCCTCCAATCCAAGGCCCCATATCCTAACTCAATCATTATACCTCTGCTCTTACTCCTCACATTTTTAACTTGCATACCCCAAGTGAATTTCACCACCCTGTTCTTACAAATTTTCCATTGTCACATAGTCATTCTGTAATGAATCAGATCATTATCTGCAACATTCCCCCAATCTGTCCTAACTCAAATGTGTTAAATCCAGTATATCCCAACATCATCCTTGTAGCTCAGTACCAGATGAGTTGATACACTCAAGAGAACACAAAATCACAAAAAGATACAGAAAGTAACACCATTCAAACTACACTCGGTATATTAATTTATTAATTTACAGTGCATGCTGAACAGTCACAATTTCTGAATTACTTTGCCTTCTAAAAAGGGAAAATTTTCTTGATACTTTTTCATCCAAGCAGCCAGTTAGATAAGAAAATGCATTTGATATCCATTATTCATTATAGCAGCCATTAGTTGTTTTTTTCATGATTCATGCCCTCCAAATTACACATGAATGAAGGACCTAGTTGTTGTTTCATTAAAATTACTAGTAAAATCATTTGCCTTACTAACTTTCTATATTCACTATATCTCCCTCTCTTAACTAGAAGAATAGAATATATAACTTTGTATAATAATATTTTGAATCGAACAAATAAAACAAGAGCCCCAGGACTTTGGAAGTCATTGAAAAATAAAAATGATATCAATACCAATGTTGTTTAGCATTAAAACACATGTGATTGATCAAAATACCCATAGTTCATGGAACAAACATATGCAATTAATCTTCTAAGGAGACTCAACCTAACAATATATGATGACACACTTAAAAAGGAACGAAGGGAGTATATGATTGGTTTGAATTTGCACCTTAATTTAGGTAGAAAACTCAACCCAAAAATATGGTTCAATTGACTTCCCAATTGGTTTGAAGCAGGACTACCTCTATATGCATTATCATAATCTCCTAATTCTAGACTCTAGACTCAACAATGCCTAAAACTAGTGGCCGCTATGACCTATGTTTAATTATGGAGTATTGACTTGGAAATTAATTGAGGCTAGGCATATGGAGATGCAATAAATGTTTTTCAGATCAATTATGATTACTTACTAATTTAGATTAGACATTTGATAAAGCATTTACTCCTTGAACTCAACTAAAGTAGTTACTATGACTTGAAAAAGTACAATGAGAAAAGAAAGATGCAAAAAGCACATAGAGAATTTAATAAAATCTTACTCCCATGGTACATCCCCTACAAGCATCCAGTCTCCATCTTTATCTTCATAGGTGAGAACATATTCTGAACCATGCAAAAGGTCCCTTAGCTTGCTCTCACTCAACATTTCTCTTCCTGGAGCTCCGTGGGAACCACACTGACCTGCCATTACATAATTACCAGATATTTCATAATAAAAAGAAATTATTAGCAAAAACAATTTTATTAATTAAGTAAATCAAAATAGCAATGACTCACCTAGGGTAAAGCAGCTGAACATTTTCTCAAGGGCAGAGGATAGTTCCTGATATGCTGTATACGTTCTTAGATCAACCTTCCTAAGATAGGGAGCACCATCCATACTGACCTTCACAAAGAGTGCAGTGGGACCTGGTTTTCCATCCACTTCATCGTTGTTGTTCTTGGAAGCAGTGGCCATGGAGTTTTTCCTAAATGACCTTATAGGAGGCCAACCAACAACTTGTGCCCTGTCACATATGAGAATTTACCATATTAGGATTATGAATAGCTATAAAAACAAAGAAACATAGAAAACCCAATTATAGGTGTTTGTTCAGTAACCAGTTTCCTGAAAATTAAGATCTTTAGGTTGAAAGATTTAACTTACTTAGAAGCTGGTGCCTGTGCACCGATAGATGCAGCACCTGCATGATTAAGTCCAGTTCCTCTGGCAGCACAAGGCCTTTCCTGCAACACCTTACTTGGCATTTCTTTCGCTGTATTAGGCTGTGCTCTAGGCGATAACATCACGTTAATCCCTGTATTAACATTAAACTTCCCCTGCAAAACAAATATTGAAAATAAACAAGCTCAGCAGAAACACAAACCATGCACTTCTCACCACATAAACCAACTTTATTAGACTAATCACCTGAGAAAACCCATCCACGGTATCAGCAAACCCTCTCTTGTTGCCCGAAACAACAGTTTTCTGCATTCCATCTTTAGCAGGAAGCAAAGGGAACAGTGGTTTCTCATCAAGCTTTGTTGAGTAAAAATCTGAATCCCTTTCAGGTGATTGAGATCCTGGAAGACCCAACCTCAACTCAGTAGCCTTCAAATTCAAATTCCCCTTTTTCTCACAACACAAGCTTGGGAGAGTTGAATCACAACTGTCCACTGATGAACAATCAGACAATCCCAGATAATTCCGTTCCTTTAAATCAACAACACCATTCTGAGAGAATCGATCTAAGGATTGTGCAGAAGCAGAAACCACCGTCGATGACAGTTTGCTCAGCCCTTCCTCCTCCGTAACAACCGCAGCCGGAGACATCACACTAACAAACTTAAAAACCGCAGTTCAACACACAATCTGCCACCAAAATACACACAAAAAATCAAAATTAAGCCAATACCAAAACACCAAAATCAACACGAAACTTCCTAAAATATATTTAAAAAAAAATTTAATATTAACAACACTAATTAAAAATATAAAAAAGCCTGAATCATCATTCATCAAGATAACTCCAATATAGTAAGAAATTGAAACAACAACGAATCAGTAAATAGTGCCATGGAATTAGATTTTTTTTCCCATTAACCAAAAAAAAGCGTGAAATTAAGTGAGAGTTAAGACCAAACATATATAATTATTTAAAAAAAAAAAGATCATTAAGACACATAATCAACTCTTCAAATAAGTGCTTAACTAACTAATTAACTTCACAAATAATCAGATTATCAATTATCATAACAATAACATAACATGCATCACTCCCACAGTTTATTCTTCAAAAAGTAAAATCAAAAACAGCAAGATGAATTCGTTGAAGCATCTCCATAGATCCATCCACAAGCACACAAAACAAAACCCTTGCTAAAAAAAATTCAAACAAAAAACTCACACTACCAGTAGAAAGCAGAAGCAAAAAAGAGAAGCTAAAAAAGCACGCACACACCTAAGGAATGTTTAGTAAATCAGAACAAGAAGCGAAAATCGATTATTGAGAGGTTGACAGAAAAAAAGCTTAGAACAAAAGAGCGAGAAAGAAAGAGAAAAGATTAAGTTCCTTCCATTAAGCAGAAAGCAACAAAAGGTTTTAGAAATTAGAAATGAATGAAGTGTTGTGAGCAAGTGTTAAGACGGAAAAACCAAAAGTTATTCGGAGTGGATAGGGGCAAAAACGAAAATAAGATGAAAAAGGAGTGTCGTTTAGTTAGTTTGATAATGATGATGTGGACTAGCGTCAAATGGAGTTGGACGGTTGTGATTAATTCTGACGGAGAAATCAAAACCGTCGGTTGTATATAGCTCTGGGGAGACAGAAAAATTAAATATCTTGTCGCTGTTAACAGGTGATATGAGTAACAATAATGAGTCTGAAAACTGTGTCCTCTTTTTTCATTAATCCGATGGCAACCAGTCTAACAACGGTTTCTACTTCTGGCTTTCTCTTTTCCTGATTAACGGGATTCGGATTTTTTAAATGTCGCTTTTGCCCTTCTGTGCTTCTAATTATTCACTTTGTCAGTGTGATCTGTGATTTGGACGCAGTAGTTACGATTCAACTAAGTAAATTCGGATTCTCGATAATGTTCTACTTTATATGTGGTAATCTATCAAAAACTAAGAAATTAAGTATTTGTGAAACAAATTTTTATTTCACAAAAGAATCCGTTGGTAGCTGTGATAATTGAAAAACAAGGTTCTTTGAAAAACAAATAAATAACAAAATATGTTTTCGGGAAAACTTTAATCAATAAATAATAAGGTAAATAAAATTGAAAAATAAATAAAATAATAAGTTAAATGAATTAATGAAATAAGGTACTATTAAAATATGTGTATGCAATTCGATATATTATAAACTTTAAATTCCAGACAACTCTACGCAATTAATGGTTGCCTCTAAGTGTGTTTTTTAAGCAAGTACAAATGGCGCCTATTACAGGGCCCTAGTAAAACTGACATTGGACACACTCACATTTTACTCATCAATCGCCTTAATCACCCTCTTCAACATGGTGACGGAGCGAGGTGCCACAACATCTACCTACATAGGCGTATCCTTTATACCATAGTAAGAGGATTTGCAAGAGGTGGAGAATTCAGCTCTTCTCTTTGAAAGTATGTTTGATAGATTCTAGTGGCGGGTGGCATACCTGTCAGTCCTAAATCAAACTTTGAAGAAAAACTAGAACCTAAAATCATCTTTTCTAGTAGAGACGTCGTCGACATCCACTCTTACAGCAATGATCTCGTGTCCATAACAATGCAGTGTGACAATTGGGATATAAAGTGGGTGTTCATTAAACCTAGAAGCTCAATAAGTATCATATTTTATGGCGCATTCAATAAACTCTAGTAAGATTCATATGATATTCGGATGTTTTAAGGCTCCTTAGTCGGGCTCTAAGTCGAACACGTGCAGGTGAAGGGACACATAATGCTCAAAACGATTTTGGATTGAACGAGAATGTGAAGATCCGTTGAATTCCAAACCTAATTCCACTCCATAATTCAAATAATGTTCACTCCTAATTCCAAATCAAAAATTCAATCCTCATTCAAAACTAAATTTTAAACCTCATTTAATTTCATGCTTAAACCATATTTAAACCAATTTGCTTCATTCCAAAAAGGGGGATGAATTCATTTTTTTTTTATTTCTCTACATTTCACACTCAAATTCTCTCACTTTTCACTCTCTATTTTCATCTTCATCCCTAACCTCACCAAAGCTCTATCATTAGAGTTAACAAATTCTTCATTGGACTTTGTTAATCCTTGAGCTAAACCTCCATCACATTGCTTTTCCATCAACAAATTCTACATTAGAAGTTTATTTGGATCTAGACATGAATTTTGGAAGCAATTTCTTGAAGTGATTTTGGAGCAATTTTACCTTATTGCATTCTTCTTCAATTTTTCTTGTGAAGAAGCTTGTGGATCTCCGGTTTTCTTTGTTTAATTCATCAAGTTTTGTTTGCAACAATTACTAAAGCAAATCTCAACTTTGTAGGTTGGTGATTCTTAGATCCAAACTCATTTTATCTTATTTTACAACTTTCACATTGTAGATCATTGTAGTTTTAGTGTGAATTGATCCATTTAGTCAAATGTTTGATGTTGTTGATTGTTTGATTGATTCAATAGGTGTTCATTTGATCATAATTGTTATGATTTTCGTGCACAATTGTATGATATTACATGTTGCATTGGACCATTGAATTGATGCTGAAAAAGTGCTTCTGAAAACTGAGTTTCGGTTGTTTTAGCAAGTGTAATCGATTAACATATATGTGTTCATCTATTACACCCTTTCACATCCCTATTTTTCTTCTGTTTTAGCAAGTGTAATCGATTAACATATATGTGTTAATCTATTACACCCTTTCAATGCCCTATTTTCCAGCTTTTAAACAGGTGTTAATCGATTACACTTGCTACAGAAGGTGTTTTTTTGCTTGTTTTTTAGCTTATCTTGATTTCATTCCACATTTAACTTCCATGGTTTGGTATATTTTATATTTGTGTAATTTTCTTGAGTTGTTTAGCCTTCATTTGCAGTGCGTATGCGAATCTTTAATGCACGATTTGTTGATTATGTAATTGTTTGTATTCTTGAAGCATGTTCATGATGCTCACTTGTTTATATGTTGACACTTGCTTGTTGATGTTGCATATTCATAATGCTTGATGTTGACACATGTTCATACACATTGTCAATTATTAAAATCCATGGTGTATGTTCACTTGGTTATTGTTGATACATGTTCATAATGATTGATTAATCTTTTGTTACATGTTCGTATACTTTACTTGACCTTGCACAACACATGTTCAAGTTGCTTGAATTTTTGAGGTGTGTTCATGATACTTGCTTAGCCTCGTGGAATACATGATGCATGTTCATGTTGATTCATGACTACTCCTTAGTTGAATGCAGTCATGCAGCTGCTGCATACATGCCTGTTCTGAAAATATGTGATGTTACATGTTGTTGTCCTTTTGTTGTAAATACATTGTTCTTCTGATTGAGGCACTTTCGTATGCTGTTGTTTGTGTTTTTCTCTGCTTGTTTTTGCTTGCTCTTGCATGTTCCCTTAAGTCTTCCTAGCCCAACTTAATTTTTGATTAAGATTGGAGTAGGATAGACATTAGGTTGTTAACCCAAGCATGACAACATTGGGATAACTTCTCCCTTATCCTCAATCTTAGGGCCATCTTACATGACAACATTAGGATAGAATCATATTTTAATCTCAACCTTAGGACCACATTGCATGATCACATCTAGGGTCAAGTCTCCCTTAGACCTTGCATCGCGTCCTTCTCTTCTCTCTCTTAATAAATTCAAAACACTTAATAAATACGATGTGTATAGTGCGCCACGAGCCTGAAGCACATAGGAAAAGATGAACGAGAGTCTTTCCTTACCTCTTCTTAGAGTATTTTGTACGCGAGACGTTTGGAACATTTATACAAAGTATTCCCTTATATTGTCATATACTTTAGCACGATATGCATCACAAACCAATTCAATTCACTTCTTTAAAACATTTCAACAAATTCAAATCGTTTTCCTTCAAGATTCTCTCCTCCTTTTTTCAGAAAGGGCATGTTATTTATGTTCTACCGCAAACAAGTAACGTGTAAGACTCCAAATAACGAGTGGGAAACACCTAAACTTCTAGAGCATCAACGTTAACATTATCCATATAAAATACTAAGCAACTCGTGGTACGATTAACTACGGACACTCTGATTTCTTCATTCTCGTGTGAATGAAGACACGTAGGCACAAGGGCCTCAATCCTTGGTGAGCAACCTTCCCTTTCACTCGTAATCCTCCGAACTACGTTGACTATGATGTTCCCATTGCACAAGAGAATACATAGCCATATGATTGCGAGATACTATCGAATCCCCTTTTGTTTACTTTCTATCTTTTTGTTTCGGCATTCCCTTAGTAAGTAAGCTTTAGATAAATACACCTTTTTATTAGAATAACAAGAGTGGATCTCGTTGAGAATAACGGACGCGAGGGATGTTAATACCTTCCTCTTACGTAACCGACTCTTGAACCCCGAATTTGGCTGGATAAGTGCTCTGGCCAGCTAGAGAAATGCTATGCAATATGATTTATGCAGACAGAAATACAAAAAATGTTAACGTGCATGTGTGCATTGGGGATATTTCCCCTCCAATTCCAGTGTCAATGGTAGCAAGACGAGAGAAACCATAAAGACAATATTTAGAAAAACCCTCATACATTTATTGGAATGACAGTCTTGTCAAGACGTTACACAACTATGTTCCATACAACT